CAATCTTTAGACAGAATCCAAAATGTTTGGCTAACAACCTCTTAACAGTAAGGCTCTTTCTTTTCTTCTATTTAAAGAGTATTTTTTATGCCATTCTCAGGCTTTTTCCCTTCATTGGCCCAAATTCCACTCTCAAATACTGTCCATTTTATTTTTTAGTATTCCCAAATCAATTTTTTTCTTTTCTTTTCTTTTTTTTTTTTTAAATAAAAGAGAGAGACCAGAGCCTATTTTAAGTGCCAAATAACACTGGCATATTTCCCCCTCATTTCATCCTCAGAACAACTGGAGATGAGCATTTCTTCTGCGGTCTCTGGGCCACAGAGAGACAGCTTGCAGAAGCCACACATGAAGAGCTGGCAGTCCTGGGGTTTGAACTTATGTCCAGCAGGTGGCAAAGGTGATCAGGGATGGCATGCTGGCTGGACAGATGTGGGAAGGAGAGGGTCACTGACTTTGGGAGCACATGGAGAAGGCGGGATCCAAGTTAGGAACCGTCCGTAGGCATGGCACTTGGAGGGAATGAGGTGCCGGGCCAGGACCATCGTCCCAGGGAAAACCAAGGTCAACTGGCCTTACGTAATTCACAAAGACAATGCTCTACCTACCACTCAGTGAGTAGTGACCGAGTTCTTTTTTTTTTTTTTAATCATTTTATAAGGGGCTCCTACAACTCTTACCACAATTTATACATCCATCCATTGTGTCGAGCACATTTGTACATTTGTTGCCATCATCATTCTCAAAACATTTGCTTTCTACTTGGGCCCTTAGTATCAGCTCCTCATATTTTCCCCTCCTTCCCTGCACCCCCACCTGTCACAACACAAATGCTTGATAGTTTATAAATTATTATTATTTTGTCATATCTTACACTGTCCGACATCTCCCTTCACCCACATTTCTGTTGTCCATCCCCCAGGGAGAAGGTTACATGTAGATCACTGTGATCGCTTCCCCCTTTCCTACCTTCTCCCTCCCCTCCTGGTATCGCTACTCTCATTATTGGTGACCGAGTTCTTGTAAGCTCTAAGGTATGACTATGGTTCCTCCTGTCCAGAGGAAAAAGGAAGGATAAGAGTTGGGACGTACTAAAATAATCAGTCCAGTGGATGAATGGACGCTGGGAGTATCAGTCTCCATGATGCTGTGACCAGAAGAAAGAGAAGGTCCCTGGCTCCCCTACCAAATGCTCTGAGTCACAGTAGTAGGTCCTGGATGGAGTGGGAGATGACTGGGGAACAGAGCACAACTTCCCTGAGGGAGACCAGGCTTCCTGGTTGCATAGATGGAACCCCCAAGAATACTGCCTTGGTCTATACCAAAACTCACCTCTGTGGCTGAGTTTTCCACCAAACCATAGATGGTTCTATAGCACTAGTGAGGTGTGCACACTTCAGATAACCACTGGGGACCACGGGGAAAGCATTGACCCTCGAGCAAAATGCAGACAGATTAGGGAAGGAAACGCACTGACATCAAGTCAGTTCTGGTTCCTGATGACCCTAGAGGGTGGGGCAGGATTGCCCTGTGAGCTTCCAAGACTGTAATTCTTTATGTGGGCAGAAAGCCTCATCTTTCTCCCAGGTGGTGTCAAACTGCTGACCTGGCAGTTAGCAGGCCAATGAGTAACCACTACACCACAGCTTCTTTAGGAAAGGAGGAAGAATAGAAACCGGAGACACGGGGAGGAAGTAGAAGTCCTTGTGGGGATTACAATCCATGGGACGAAACAGAAAGTATGAAAATTGTTCAAGGGAAAGCTGATCCACACTCTACAAACCTTCACCCAATTCATTATAAAAAGCTTTAAACAAACAACTAAATTCAGATGCATTTTATCTATATTTATCTACAATTTTCCCTATGGCAATGAACTTTGGTAGGAAAAAATAGTCCCCGGTCCTGCAAGTCAATCCTTTAATTTGCTCATACACTTTCTTTTCTTTCCAAGTCTCCATTCCGCCTGCATCATACGCTACCACCCACAAAATAATCCATGGCTGACACTGACCTTGACCAACTGCCCGGCTCATTGTTAATCATTTAGTAGTTTGAAAAGACCTTTACAAACACATCACGCTCTAAGAGAGCACGAGATAATGGAATGCATCCAAATGGCTACTGAAAACTTGCACTAGAGATTAACAGCATGGAAATGGAAACTCTGATAAAATAATCGAAGGAAAATCTATCTAACCTAGTACTCATGCCTCTTTTGTGTGGACCAGACACCTGCAATATTGAAGGCAAACGTAGGTCTTAAACATACTAAGGGGCAGCTAGCTTGAAAGTGCCGTGAGATGCTATGGGTTTAAGTGCTCAGCCGCTGAGAGGTAGTTGGTTCAAACCCACCGGCTGCTCTGTGGTGGTCTGCTCCTATGAAGATTCAAGCCTGGGAAACCCTATGGGACAAATGTCCCCAATCACAGAGTGCCACTCGCTTGCTGTATGTCAGCATCAACCAGATGGCACCCAACAGCAAGTGTCTTTAGCTGTACAGATCGCACCGGCAACCAAGAGTCCACGCAGATGTGGAAGTGAGTTAGAGCACTTTCGGGGTTCACCATAAAACTTTAGTGGAG